GGGGGAGATTGCGGGTCCAGGTTGTAAAACTCAGGGGGTCCTGCTGTACGAGTAGGTTGAGGAGGTGTCTCTTTAGGAATAGGTGTGGGGACCGATGACATACTACCTCCGAACAAGGGGGTGGGCCCTAGGCCATCACGACGAGTCTTGTCAGGCTTATGTTTCTTTTCCGGACTCTCAAGTCGATCTTTAGGCCCCTTACCTTCCTTACGTCCCCCTACACCGAGAGCAGGAGCAGGTGCTGAGCTGAGCGCAGGGGCCGGAGCAGGGGCTGCACTGAGAGCATTTTGCTGGTACGGGTTTAGCCCTGGAAGAGGGAGCACCAATCTGTCATTTGGAGCACCAGAAGCAGCAGCCCTAGCAGCATCTCTCAATGCCTCTGTTTGAGCTCTACGATCTTCCATCGCAATCGCAACAGCAGTGAGGTCTGGCTTAACAGAATGCAAAGGGCTTTCATCTACATCGGAAGGATGCATTGGTTGAGTCGCCTCATCGTCCATCGTAGCATCACCCATCGACACTGACAGCAGACAGGACGGGGGCCGGGGGAGGGGTCCTTCAGTCCAAGAAGAAGATTTTCGAGCCGAAAAACTTGAGCCGTAGCCACTTGAGTTTAGGGTTTAGGGTTTTGGGTTTAGGGTTCAGGGCGGGGCTTAGGGCTTGGGGTTTTCGGCATTCGGCGCTCCCACTCGGACAAGCCACCAGCGAGATTATTGGTGCGTGGTCGGATGAGGTGAAACGCTTCCAGGGACGTCCTGGCTCGTTTACAAAACGCCACCAGAAAGGCGAAAGACACGAGGCAAAACTAGACATCATCCCAACACATACTTCAGAGGATTTTCCGGCTTTAGAGCTTATAGCGTTTATACTTATATAGGTCCCTGCTTATGGCCCTCCCACCTAGCTAGGACGAGCCCGCATTGCAGGGTACAGTGTGTGTGTGTGTATATGTATATATATATATATAGATAGAGGTCACTCTAGACTCGAGGACTCCGGAAAAAAACCACCCAGGGATCGGTCCTGGGCCTTCGCAAGGCGCTCACCAACCGTCCTGGGCTGTCACGAAGTGAGTTTTCCAGAGAGCCCAGTAGCCCTTAATGAAGGAATAGACCTTAAAGCATATATTAAGGCCCCCGATAACATTTAAGGTATATTCCTTAATCGTTCAAAACAGACAAGCAGTGAAGTTGCGGCGATTGATGGTGCGGCGCAGAGAATTAGCTCATTGCAATACTCATTTAGAAAGGCAGGTGGCACAGCAACTCAGGAATTCCAACGACAACTGACGATGAACACTCTATGGCAGGACGGTGTCTCCTTTTATTCAGGTGTCACGCAACGCTTAATGAAACTGCAAACCGAAGTGGAAACTACCAATGCTGCCACATGCCTTTGGCCACTAACTAGAGTCTAACTGCATCGCGCGCTCAACACAAAAATTGCCGTACCCCGTCCCAACTGAAATGCAGCATGCCACACTCAGTGAGAGAACCCGACTTCGCACAGGTCTTTTAGTCTTCGGTGTCGCTTAGGTCTACTTGGTTGTTGGCCAACATGATCAAGCGATTCGTCTTTGCCCTGGTGGCGGCATAGACCCCCAGCAGGGCGATGGCGATGACGCTGGCTGCCAGGACGAAGCGCATCCCATATGGTCCGTGGGCGACCACACCGAGCCAAACCAGGTCCCCTGCCCACATCAAAGCGCCAACGATAAAGCTCACTAAAGGCATCTCCACCGTTATGGGCATTCCGGCCACCCATTCTCCCAGCTTTTCGTCTGGAACGAAGCCCACTTGCATTATGAGGATAGTCGTGAGGATCACAGCAATGACATTGAAGGCCAGACCCATGCTGCAGAGAAACGGATGAATGGTGTCACAGAACTCTTTGCTCGGCATGATGGACAGAAGGAAATCTCCTTGGCACTCGGCCACTTTGGAGTAGTCCAACATCGTCAAGAAAAGGGCCCCCACAACGCCGATGGTGGTCCATGATGCCATCATCCGATCTCGGAAAGTCGCGGCATCCAGCGTCTTGCCCAGCATCGGCAACGTCTCCAGGAAAGGTGACTTGCAAAGCGCTTTGCAGAAGGCCCGCATGGCTGTCTATGGACCTACCTTAAAGCTGGGATATGCGGAGATGCACCCAGGCCCTTGGCTTGATCCAAGCAGCTCGCATCGCAGATGACCCGCAGAAAGCAACGCCTGCTTAGAGAAATCTCGAGGACTCGAGGCCAGCCGATTGCTTTCTGCAGCCAAGCCACTCTGGCATGAAAGGTCCGACCTACCGCTCAAATTCAAGGATCCACAAGAACCCTAACTTCACAAAGGCAGATTGGGCGTGCCCAGCATGCAAGTCTTAGGCTTAGGCCTTTCCAACCGGGGACTGCCGACACGACGTGAGAGGAAGACACTTCTTGAACCAAAACGGAGCCTGCGGTCACCTCGGGTAGTTTATGCCACCACGGCAAGAAACAAACTCCGTCAAGGACTTGCCTTGCCTCCCCATAGTATAGGACGGTACATGAACGCCATGTTCCTAAAATGCCTCTGCTACCAGAGGTACAGATTACAAGTTGCAGCATGAAAGACTTAGACCTACCCTCGACAGCTACGAACTTGAAGCTCTGCTCTGACAGTTGCTGCTACCACCGATTAGTTGACAGCGTCAACCACTCATGGATCATCCTTGTTCGCGTCGTACTTTGCCATTTGGGCCTCAGGCGACAGAGTGCTTTTGTGGATCTCCACCCTAAGCCTAAACCCTGAAGCTGCTATGCCGCTATGCCTTGCCCTCAGCATCCGGCGACACCTGCCTCCACCTTTTTCTTGCTCTGAGACTTCCTCAGAGCCTTCTTGCCTGATTGCGGAACACCCCCACAGGAAGCTCAAGAAAGCAAGTGCGGAGTCCCAAAGCAGCCCTTATCTGCCAAGGCCCCGGCACTCCTGGAGGCGCTTCAGCTTTTCCTGGAAGCCCTGGCAGCCCGCAATCTTGCGCAGAGCGACTTGCGGTGGAAAAAACCGGGCGACTGCATCTGCTTTCTTCGCTTTATCCACTTTTTCAGATGCCGGGCCGGATCTGCAGAGCTCATGCCGCAGAAGACGAGTGATCTTGACGGCGAGCTTACACCAGAAGCAGGTCTTAGGACACGGGATATTGCTGGGTTGTCGCACTGACATGCAAGAGACGGCTGAAGTTAGCAGCAAACCGGAAGATCGCAGAACCAGGATCTTCCGTCGGGTAGCTTCGAGTCGTAGTTGGTGGGTTTCCTTCTGTTCCCAACGGAAATCTGCATTGCTTTGCTTCTCACAGCACTGCTCGCTCCAGAGCCCGGCTGGGTCCGACGTGCTCTCCCCTCCTGGACTTCTCGTGCATTCACTTTTCAAGTTTCCGCACATTACCCTGGTGCACGCGCTTGCGCCGCTCAGCCTCCGTGCACCAAGGACAACAACGGCCTGGATCGTCTGAATACTCTTGGATCACAAGTCGCAGCCGCATTGCGAAGAAGAAAAGCAGATCGTCCAGTCTCTGTGGCCCGTCTTGGTCTCGTGGCTCCCGCGCTCTCAGCAAGCAGTGGAGGCATTCGGCGGTCGAGAGAAGCCCCTGCACGTCCGCCAGCTTCTCAGTGGCGGAGCGCCAGAAGCATGAGTGCCTCGAGGATTCCGCGCCCAGCTTCATGGCGGGGAGACCGCGAAGATTCAGCTCCGCGTCTTCCAAGACGGCCCTGCAGCTCGCAGGATGCTGCAAACAACAGCCTCATCCCGAAAACCAAAGGGCCTGCAGCCTAGCATCGGCCCAGTATAAGGCTTCGATGAACTTAACATCAGAGATGACAAATTCAGCCCTCAGCCCTCTCCTGGCATGCTTCCAGCGGCTGTCTACCAAGACCAGACGCTGCACGTCCTCCCATGGCACGCTCTGGGCGTCCACGGCCTCCTCGCTGGGGTAGACCAGCCAGGTCCCGGGTTTCGAAAGCTCGAGGTTCTCGAGGTCCAGGCCCGGCCTCCACTCCACCACGCGCACATCCTCGGAGAGGAGCGGGAGTGGCGTCGCCGACGACTTGCCGGGCGGCTCCTTGGGGTGCCGCAGAATCAGCACTCGCAAGCCCAGGTGGAGGGGCTCCGGAAGCGGAACGACGCTTCGCACACACTGGGAGCAGTAGAGCCGCACCCACTTGGAGCAACCTGGACAAAGGCCTTTCCCCAAGAACTCCTCGAAGCTGACGTCGATGCTGAATCTCAAAGCCGACAGAAATCTCACAGCTGTCTGGACTGCCTCACATTTGGCCACCGGGACTGGTGCCCGGGTGGGCGCTTCAGCGAAATCAGCGGCGGCATCCATTGGCGAACCCAAACCGTGCTCGAAACAACATGGCGGCGGACTGCCAACAGAGCACGAAGGCAAAAACAAATCAAACTGCGTGTTGATGGCAAGTTCTGACCTCGGTCTTTAGGTCCCCAACACACGCTTCATCGCTTCAGGTGGCCTCACCCATGGTCAGCACGGCTCCGCCCTCGACCAGGCAGGAAGCACACGCCTTCACCAGTGGCACAACACAAGGCAACCGCCCTGTGTAAGCTCGCTCCAGCTAAGAGGAGGCTTCACGCTAGGACATGTTGGACCCGTTTTGATGCACTTGCTGCCTCGACGGCCTCGTCTGCCTCTTTCAGAAGCCTGTCGGTCACCTCACAGCTCGGATGTCAAATCCCTGTTTCATTTCTCGCTCGAAGAACCTCGAAGAACAGCCCAGTGCTCCCCCAAAACACAACGGCAGAATGGCATGTGCTCCCCTCCATTTTGCATTGGTTGCACGACTCCAGCCCATCAGTCTGGCTTCTTGTGTGCCGCCTGTCGCCTGCACCGATTCATCAGCACACGTCCGAAGGCGCAGCAAAGTCTCCAGTTCACCCAATGTAAGAACAGCCGCAGCGTGTTGACGGCCATGGAGGCGACGGGGAAATCCCGTTCGAAGATCCAAGTGTTGATGGCCCTGCCGGGCTTGCCCCTTTTGGGGCAAGGTCTGATCTCCATGAACTCGCAGAGCTCTTCCATCGTATTCCGACGCGGGTCCCATTCGAACAAACGGTCTTTGGGAACAGTCTGGCGAACCTTTTCGAAGAATTGATTGTAGTCCTCTTCGTTTTCAGGTATCCATGTCGTTGTGGGCGGGCTCCACGCCTCGTACTGCCTCCGGTGGTTCCTCGGATTTGCAGAACCCCGCACATCCATGGTCTTGCAACACTGAATCCAGATCTGACCGAAACGCTGATCTCTCCAAGGAGCAAGCTCTGGTGGTAAAGCCACACCTGAGTGGCTCTTAGCAGCACCTCCTGTAACCCTAAACCCGAAACCCTACATAGGATGCTCTCAGTCCCCTCTGTGCCGCCAAAGGCTCCATGGGACCCGAGACCTCGCGGAAACGGATCTGGAAGAGCCCAAAAACAGGGTTTATTTTTTCCCTCCCACATAGCAAGGACGAGCCCGCATTGCAGGGCAACGACAAGCCCCCTTATTTATAGGGTCTAGGGTTTACGCTCTCACAACTCGGACATGTTAGGCGAGGTTCCATAGTAGGGTTTGGGGCTTAAAAAGAAGGACTCCCTCCCCTCCCTCTCCCCACGGGTTTCCGCGCGCCTCCGTAATGGGCGGCGTGCCCTCCCGTACGACCCCCTCCACCGGTCGGCCCAGCAAGTGGTCCTGGGAAAGGCGGGCTTCCGGGATGGGCTCCGAAGACGAGTGCAGGCAAGGCTCCAGGGGCCGAAGAAGCCACATCCAAGGCAGCAGACCAAGGGAGGCTCCAGCAAACCAGTTGTGAAAGCACATCACCTTAAGATCAGAAGGGGGATTTTTAGCACCGAGGGCCTATGCCGCAGTCTTCATGGTAGCCCTACTGCCAATAAAAGACCAGGCCGAAACGCCACGAGCTTGGGAATGAACTTGTCGAAAGATGCTTTCCAGGCGCTGTAGCTTCGCCAGCTCAGTAAAATCACCTCACGGTTCAGATATTTTTGCCGCCTACTTCGCTAGGACGTGCCCGCATTGCGACAAGAAATGTTTTAAGCAGATGCAGGTCAGGGTACTTTCTTGTTTTTTGCGCTGCTTTCAATCGCTCTGTTGGCTCTTCCCCCCCTTCCCATGATGCCGGGCTGCCATTGGGCTTCGTGAGTGTTCGTATGCACGAATTAATCACACTGGACATATGTCTCAGTGTCCTCAATATCAGCAGCTTGCTGAGAGCTCCTTTTCGCCGGAATGAACTGACCCCGCACAGGTCACGATCGAATTCATCCCCGGCTTGACGTCGCTATCGGAGCAGCAGCCGGGGTCTTTGATGCACTACACATATTGATTGATGCTGCTGCGGGTGCTTCCGATATCGATGCCCGCGCCGGCCGCAGCGGTGGCGTCGGTGGCACCACAACCGGCAGCATCGTCCGAGTTGCAGCCACAGCGCTGAAGGCTCAGGCATACAAAGGCAAGGACCGCGGTCAGGAATTTCGCCGCGAAAGACATGGCGCAAAGAGACACTGGAGCAGTACTAGCAGACTAGCAATTGCTGCGCGTCTCGAGCCGAATGCTGTTGCCAGTTGGGTTTTGGCTTTCGCACCTCGGACTGCGCAGGCGAGGTTGGTTCGGTCGAAGGCTCAGCGCTTTGGCATGCTTTGGCTCCAGGTCGGTTCGGTCTTCTTTTCCGCATGGTGCGCAATCGGGGCTTGGGAGTTTGGGAAGCCCACCGGCAAGCTCTCCGGGAAGGAAAAGAAAGTAGCGAAGACAGCTATGGAGGGCTTGCTTTTGGGGTGAGTCGCCACGTGCCGCCTATACCAGCAGCCGAATTAGCAAACAGCAAAACGCGTCTGGCACCGTTTCGTGCCAGTGCATCTAGCCGGAAATCTATCATCGAGGCCTTTTAGGACACCGCCGACTAAAAGCTGAATTAAGGAAAAATTTGAGTAGAGGGGTAATAGCTGCAATGGCCACAGCCGTCGCCTTTATCAGGCTGTATACAGCGGGTGTGCCCGAATACTAATTCTCACTCCCCTCGACAAGGTTTCAGGTTTAGGGCTTGATGGCTTTATGGATGAACTGATGAACCGTCGACGGGAGCAAGTGCGTAAAGCCCTTCATGTACAAGCAATCCAGGCCTCAAGCCTTAGGCCTTGAGGCTGGAGAGAAGGCCTCCCTTCTCGCCCGCTGGAAGCTGGCTGAACAGCGACTGAATCTGATTCTTGAGGAAAGCGGTTCGGATAGCCTCTGCCCTCGCCTCGATGCTCTGGGATTCCAGCCAGCTGACCATCTTCATGTCGCTGCTGAAGTCCACGTTGCTCTCCGCGGCCCACTTTTGGATCAGTGCCTCACCGCCCTTGTGGCTCAAGGTCTGGTCCGCCTTCTGCAGCTGCTTGATCATGTGATCCTGCAAGACCCTCCTCTTCACGCGCCAGAAGAAGTAACGGCGGGAGTCCTTCCAGGAGACGCTGTCGCGGATGACGTTCTTGGCCTTCATTCGACCAGCTCGGTCGTGGAGGTCCGCAAAGGTCGTGGCCACCGAGGTGTAGAGCGGAAGCAGCTGCTTCTCACGCGCCTTGATCTCCTTCTCCAGCTCGAGCTTCTGAGGGCCCTGGCTCCCTTCCAGCTTCGAGTCCAGCTCTTTGAGCTTCGCATCGATGCGATGCATGGCCTCGATCTGCTGCGGGGCGCGGTACTTGACCTCGACGATGCCAGGGGGCTCGAGGATCCCGCCGCGGGCATCCACATCCGCATACATCTCCATCTTGTCTGGGTTGATGGCGGGGTCGATGACTACCCAGGCTCCGCCCCGGAGCTCGACGTGCTTGGGGATGTAGATGAAAATCGGGTGCTCGTAGTCCACCA